GTATTAAGTTGCTAGCTAGCTTCTCGTGTCTTCTATTAAACAGATGTGAGCATGAGCGCGAGCGATTAATCACGTGAGCAGATAACATGATGTCAAAATAAAAGTCACATAAAATCTAAGTAGGAAACAGGATCATCAAAATCAAAGAACACTGCTAGTGGTCATTTACAGAAACCAAACAGACGGCGGATTTTTTTAAAAGAAAGGAAAATGGGCTACAGATGCAGAAAAGGTCGGTCATCCGACTGACTCGCAACTCTGAATCCGACCTGAAAGCCAGTCACCTCGTAGCCAGACGTGTGGCACAAGAAACCTTCCACCACAGCGGAGGAGTCGGTTCTACACGCCGCTGCGGATGTGCGCGTGAGACGATCACGTGTTGATCGCGTGAAGAAGATATGAAGAGCAACTGCTGGCTCTGTGATGTCAAAATATTGACTGCTGAAGCATTATTCAAATGAATTTGATTATAAGCTTATGAGGCTACATGTTGATTTGCACTTTGCACTAAAAAACTAAGCCAAAACCGAAAGAAATGAGAAAATAATTACATTTACGCAAAAACTATACTAGTAAAACACAGACAAACGGCTTAACCAAAGCTTAACGAAATCACAAATAAGCAAAATAACTAATAAGTACGGCCAGTCTCTTGTACACAGTTAAAATATGTCTTGACCCAGTTAGGAGGCCCACAGCGAAACACGCAAAAATTAGCAATGTGGGGAGGCCAAAAAAAAGCAGACCCCAAACCAGGGTGAACTTGGCCAAAGCAGACCCCAGACAGGGTGAATTTAGCCAAAGCAGACCCCAAAGCCAAAGCAGACCCCAGACAGGGTGAATTTAGCCAAAGCAGACCCCAAAGCCAAAGCAGACCCCAGACAGGGTGAACTTGGCCAAAGCAGACCCCAAACAGGGTGAATTTAGCCAAAGCAGACCCCAAACCAGGGTGAACTTGGCCAAAGCAGACCCCAAAGCCAAAGCAGTAGTGTTGTTACCTCCGACCCTCCTGCTTTGAAGCTTGTGTCGAAATATGAACCAGTGCAGGGCAAAGCAAATGTATCGGTGCTCGGTTCGTTCACTGCTGATCACATGATCACTGACGTCCGAATCTTCATTCCAGCGCACAGTCACGTGACCGCTTCAATTTGATTCAAATGGGCTCGAAACAGGATTCGGGCTTGTCGGTTTGATACAGTCAAAGTCAGTGTTGTTGTAGTAGTAGTAGCAAAGAGCAAATTTACAATGGAACCTGTGGCAGAGAGGTCGCTCCGAGATGTGGGAGCACTTCAATTTGATTTCCTCTAACAAGGTTGGCAATAGGCAGGCAAAGTCTGTCATTTGTATTGTGTAATTATGTAATTATGTTTATTTTTATTATGGAGACCACCAGATATTTGGCTGAATCAAACATTCCACGGAGTGAAGACCCGCTAAAATATTGGGACAAACATGTGTACCCACATCTATTTGTATTAGCACGCAATCATTTGAGCATTCCTGCCTCATCCGTGCCGTGTGAGCGCATATTTTCTAAGGCAGGGGAAATAGTATCTACAAAAAGAAACCGACTCAACCCCAATACTGTGAAGAAAATTGTGTTTCTCAATGAAAATCAATAATTTCATGCCCCATCCCATGTGTCCACAAGCACCACAATATCCTGTCATAATAAACCTGTCCAAAAGCACAATCACTGCCCCACTGACCTTTCCTCTGTTAATCACTTCCCACATTCAAACAATTCACATAAGTCCCTATGACTGCTATGAACTGCACATGCAGTAGGAAGCACTGGTATTTTAAATTGTAAAATAGGTGTGCGTCTACTCAGTGCTGCTCCAGCTGCTGAATGCCTCTCCTCCTTCTTTTTTTGGTTTACGGGTTAAGGATTTTAGTTGGCATCCATCTTATTGGTGCATTATCGCCACCTTCTGCCTCGGAGTGTGAATCAGACACTTTCTTTCTCCCAACATGCCCCTCCCTCCCCAAAAATAAAATAAGAAAAATAAATAAGTAAATAAAAATAAGAAATAAAAATAATCACATCTATCCACACACACACACACACACAAATCAGCTCACCTGGTCCACAGGTGCATGCAGATTATTAATGAACACCACTTTCTCACTCAAAATAAAAAATAACACACAACATCTACACTTTGTAGAAGCAAGAGCATCGTTTTAACAAGATGGACCTTAAAGAATAATTAATTAATGCGTAAATAGGAAAGAAGCGCACATCCTCCTGTAAGCCTGGAGAGAATATGGTTTCATATTTGATGTAATCTTACAGAACAGTTCATGTCATAACTGTTGTTTCTAAAATGACAAAACAAGACAGTTATTGAAATAAATTTGAATGCACATGAGCAGGAGTCCAGTTAATAATGCATCAATATTCATCCTCAGGACGACATTTTATTCAGTACAAGACGATCAAAATGAAAAGTATCTGCCTCTCACCGTGGCAGTTTGTTTGTCATGTTTCCACATGTTTAGTGGGTGGTGTGACTCTGAGTGAGGTGAGAAACCGTTATTTAGCTTTGTGGCTCAGATGAATAAGGAGAAGTGGGGAGTATCTAACACTCTCAATATGTTCTGAGAACTTAAGAACAGGGGAAATTGTTTAGTCAGACACTGCAGTACTCTCACTTGTGAAGTACAACTTTCTGCAATAAAATTCATTAGGAAATGCCATTTTCAACTCAAAGAATATGTTATGTGTACGAGGGATGAGACAATGTAGGATTGCATAAGATATTCCATTAAAGAATAAAGAAGTAATATCATGTACAAAATGTTTTTTTAAGTTCACTAAAACCGATAATGGGCGGCACGGTGGTGTGGTGATTAGCACTGTCGCCTCACAGCAAGAAGGTTGTGGGTTCAACTCTACCCAGTGGCCTTTCTGTGTGGAGTCTGCGTGGGTTCCCTCCGGGTGCACTGGCTTCCTCGCACAGCCCCCCCCCCCCCCCCCCCTGCAACGCTGTGTGACGATAAGTGCTTTGAAGATGGATGATGGACTAAAACAGTTGCCACATTGGTATGGAACGGCCCAAATGTTATGGGAGGCTCTCGGCTCGCAGCCTTTTCTTAAGCAGAATGCACATGCAATTTGAGGTTTCTAGTCCACATACCATTTTGTCCAGTAGTTGATTTGGCTAATGCATTTTTCTCCATGCCCGTCCATCCTGAGTGTGAATGTTGGTTGGCATTCACCTTCCAGGGGCGTAGCTACACCTGAGCAAGATGTGCACAAGGATACTCATGTCAAACTTTCATCTGCAGCTGAGCCTAAATTTACAAAACTAACTTCCTATCAGGTTAGATGACGACATGTGGATGACCTCATGGTGGCTAGGCCCTCAGAAGAAGCATGCAAAACAAGACACAGTTGCACTTTTGACCTTTCTGGCTAACAATGGTCACAAAGCCAGCTCTAAACTTCAACTTGTCCAGACAAAAATAACGTATCTGGGACATCTGATCAAAGCAGCGGGCAAAACGCCAAAAACAAGAAAACAAGTGTTTCCTAGGAATGACGTCATACTGCAGACAGTGGATCCTTAACTATTTAGAACTGTCCATGGCAAACAATTGACAGCTCGATGCAAAATAACCTGGACTCCAGAAGCAACGAAGGCCTTTGTAGAATTGAACCGTAGTATTGAGAATACTCTTGGCTTACCAAATCCAAACAAGCCATTGGTCCAATTTGTCGACCAAAGGGGTGGATACGCTACCTCTGTCCTGTGTCAGAAACATGGGGATAAACGCAGACCTGTTGCTTTTTCTTCTTCTACAAAACTGGATCCAGTAGCAGCAGGCCTGCCCCTCTGCCTCAGAGCTGTAGCAGCTGCAGAGAAGGCAGTTACAGCCTCTAGAGATTTAGTAGGATATTCCGACCTCATGGTTCCGCATGCTTTAGCTCACATTCTACACACACAAAAGACATCTCACTTGTCAGCGCAGCGGTGGTTGAGATGTCACACCACATTGTTGAAAATGCCCAACGTCACAGTAAAACACTGTTCCAGTCTAAATCCTGCTTCTCTTCTCCCGACACAGAAAGATGGCGATAACACAGAAACTTTTCATGACTGTGTGCAGATTCTGGGTGAGGAGTGTTTGCCAAGGGTTGATCTCTCAGACACACCTCTCCCAAACGCTGACCTTGAGTTGTTTGTGAATGGTTCTGCATCAAGAAATAAGACGGGCAACAATCAAACAGGTTTTGCTGTTGTCACCCAACATGCTATTGTAGGATCACCATCTAATTTTTCAGCACAAGCTGCAGAGTTAATACCACTCACGAGGCATTTAAACACGCCGAGGGCAGAACAACCAACATCTATACAAACTCTCGTTATGCGTTTGGAGTGGTCCATGACTTTGGTGCCATTTGGCGACTCAGAGGTTTCCTCACCTCCTCTGGAAACCTGTAGCTAATCATCACCTTATTTCAGATCTTTTGAATGCTGTAATGTTGCCAGGAAGGTGATGAAATGTGATGCTCATCTCAGTAGGTCCCCACCATCCAACCACTAGTTACTTCTGCACAGAAGGCGCTGTGGGCAAAAGCTGGAGCCACATTTTTGAAAAAAAATTTGGTTTGCCTGATTCAAAGCAGTGTTTCCCACAGGCTGCCTTTCCATTTCATGCTAAGCTAGCACATGGAACAGACCCGTGGGCAAGGGAGTGTTAGGGGGTGTAGTTGGTGGACCCAAATGCACACGCACAGCAGTTTGATTTGTAGCCAATGATTTTATTTCCCATACAACCTGGGAAGTGAACAACTTCTCCACCAATGTCTTGCGGCCTGGGGGGATAAGGCAGGATTCCAGTGTGGATACCGGAGGTCCGACATCATAACCAGAGTTGGATGAAAACGAGTCACGTGTACTTCGTGGTACTCCGCGGGTCTGACACTGCAGGACAAAAAGCAAAAACAAGCAAACTGGTTAGCTACGTCTGATAGCGACATTCAACGGCACCTGAGACCAGCCTGGGTACTGGGGCGGACTGACGATGAGCCTCTGAACTCAGGAGCCTTCATGCCCGTCACTGGTGATCCCCGGAAGGAGCCACAGCTGAGCTATTGAGAGAGGGGCGGGACCGGAGGCAGAACACAGGGGTGGAAACTCTAGGTTGACAAAAAACAACAAAACAAAAGCACAGACGGGGAGGCAGATAAACAGATAGGGACCCTAACAGGGAGGGATGAACACAGCTATGAATGCCAATTGGTTTATCAGAGGATTTAAAACTCTCAACTTGTGAAGGAAAGAAATATTGTTTGGTGTTGGTTCAGCAAATGTGTTGAAGTTGTCCTTCCTCAAAACAGGATGCAGGTGCAGTGGCCAAGTTTCTTCTCAGAGAAATCCTTCCATGGTGGGGGATCCCCACGAAACTCATGCATCAAGCTGTGAAGGAAATGTCTGATTTTCTTGGTTATGACCTCAAATATCATCGCTCTTATCACCCACAAAGCAGAGGTGCTGTTGAAACATAGGGCTTAGACCAGGGGCTACTTCTCGAGACTCCAAACTCTATGATGACTGCATGTTGAATCACTGCGTAGGCCTCTCGGCTTCTCTTCCAGCTCTCCATTCACAGGTAAAAGCCACGCTGCCCACACCAGCTGACACGCTAGAACACCGCATCAAGCCTGGCGACTGGGTGGTGAGTAAAGACTTCAGGAGGACGCACTGGAAGCAGCGGCGATTCACAGGTCCGTTCTAGGTTCTCCTGATGAGCCAGACCGCTGTGATTGAAGCTATTGAAGCTGCCGACAAGTAGCGTGCTAAGCTACCAACGAACGTGTCGTGGGACCTGACGAACACCAACCATCTGTTGGAGCTGCCAGCAAGTAGCGTGCTAAGCTACAATCAAACACATCAGAGGAACCGAACTACAAAGGTCACACACAGAGGCCAGACAGAAGGATTGATGACGTGATATCACTGATGTGTGCTGTGAAATATGTAACCATTTACGGCATATTACTTTAATTACTATTACTCATTTCCTTCACTTGTGTTTTGATTTTCCCATGCTTATGATAACATGTATGTGCGTTTCAACTATTTCTGTAACATGATTCGACTGTATTGTACATCTTTTACATCATTCCATAATGTGACAACAGTACTGTGATGATCAACCTGATTTCTGTCCAATCCTTCCTTGAGGGATTTCTTCCTCATTTTTTTCCCGTGAACAGGTTTTTCTTTCATGCCTGGTGAATCTTTTTACAATGGTAAATGATTCTAACCATGATGTTGTGCACTGTTATATATTGTAATGTGTTATGGCCATTATTTTTATTTTTTTATTTTCATCTATCTATCTATCCTGTATGATCTGAAGGGGGAGATGTAGAGGGAAAGTGAACTGCACCACTGTTGAACCTGTTCCCCTGTCATCTGGGGCACACGATGCACAGCTACGGAACTGGAAATGTTGAACTTGCGTCCCATCGAGCCTTTTGCCTGTGATGGAAAGGCTTATCGGTTAATTGGTTGTGCTGAGTTCCACCAAATCACTTGTATAATGGAAGGTCCCACAGAACTCTTTTCCAGCTAAACCTGAACTGTGTGCATCAACTCATATAATTGATCCACTTGTCCTTGGGAACAGAGACTGAAAAACCCTCTCTGTACATCTCTGTATCATTTAATTGTCTCCCTCTGATGATGATCATTGATTTACTGTCTTCAAGCATATAAAAACCCTGAGTGGGATCCTCTCGGTACCGATTCCAGAGCAGTTGGTTGATTGTGAACTGTTCGGCTCAGTCGTTTTGCGCAGAAGTCTGTTAAAATATACAAAGAAAAATTTCTCTTTGTAGGTCTCCCTTTATTCGCTCAAATTTCCACCACAGGGATCTTGTTTGCAAAGTGTAACTCCAGCCCTAAATCAGGAGAGAAATTTAACAGCAAAACAACAACGGAGTGGAGTGTGGATTAAATATAACCCTCAATTTGGCCTTAATCCAAATAATATGGTGTTCAACAGTAGTGGGACAGTTTCCACATATCCGATGAGTTTTACTGGAGACTTGAGTCAGAAAAACTGCTCCACTTTATTTTCCAGTTTAAACACAACATGCACAGACACATACTACTCCAGGGTTTAGAACCGTCCATTTCTATCAACAGCTGTTTGTGATTCCTTCTAAATAAGAGTTAAAGGTAAGAGACGTTTCATTCAAAAACAACAGATTAATGACCCGATGCCCCAAAACATTATTTAATCAACACGTTTTCCTTTCTGAAGGAGACTTTTACTGCTTTAATGATGGAGGAGTTTATTACTGTGTGGCCACCATCAGCTTGAAATCAAAATGCCTTTTCTTAAGTTAAATACATTTTATTTAATCATTGGCTGGTGAATTAATAGACAGTTTTGTTGTGGTTTTAGTACAATACAAGTGTGTGTGAATTATATTTTATCTGCCATTTGCAGGAAGACCAGCAGTGATATTTGTCTCCACCTCCCAGTTCCTCCTCCTTCCTCTCACAGACCACCTTGGTTCAAAGACCTGTGACTTCTGCATTGAACTTGTCAGACAGCAGACTGCACTGAAGAAGAAACACTCACTCAATGTAAGTTAATGTCACCTTCAATACTTCATTTTTATGGATATACAATCCTTTTTTATTGAAATATCATCAAGTTACAAGAGATTTCTTTCAAATTATTCACAAACAAGTTTACCGAATGCCCGTTGTATCAATGCAGTGAGAGTGTGCAAAATTTGAATAAATACTTGAGTTGAAGAGGAAGTAGAAACTCTGAATGAGGAAATGTTTTAGCGACTCAGAGTTATTCACAGTGACTAAACTCAAGTCACTTAATGCAACATTATTATTATTGTGATGTGTGTGATACATAAAGATGATATAGACTCACGGATATGAGCAGTTAAGGGGAGAACTCTGCTAAAACAAAGACCTGCACTTGATCTAATTGTCCCTCTGTTATGGACGTGGGCTTCTTTGGTAAGAGGGAGACATTCATAGTTTTATTCTCATCCAACACTCAGAGTCGTACTCGTCCACAGACTTGTGAGCTGTGGTCTCTTCACACACAGGAACTTGTGGTTGCACACAGCATGTTGAACGCTTCCTAGAACACTGATGTTGTGTTTGTGAATCAGGTGGTGAGTGTCATGGCCGACCAGTCTGTTAGGATGGTGACAGCCATCGTGTTGCACAGTGTCTTCTTCCTCTCAGGTGAGCTTCATCTTCACTCACTTGTGTTTCACTTCATCATTTACTGTTTGGAAAATATCATTTCAACCTAAATTCATGTGAATGTTACAATCTGTGTTTTCCTGCTGAGCTCTTTTATCACAGAGACAAAAGTGACGTAGTTATTTGTAGACAGAGACGGGTTTGGTCCCACTGGGCTCGGCCTTGTGGGGGAAAGTTGTAAAACCAAAAAGATGAATCAACACAAAAACTGTTCAGGGAAAAAAAGAACAAACAACACAAAACATTACTGCTGAAGTATTTTTCTCTTTGTGTTCATGTTATTGTTGTGTTTTTACACATTTTAATCACCACTGTTAATCATTAGTTTGTTTCACAGGTGCTTCTGCTGATTGTTCTGAGGATTCAGGTCTATTCATCACTGCACCAAAAGAGATGGAAGCACTGACTGGATCTTGTTTGCAAATTCCATGTAACTTCAGTGTTAAACAAGGACTGGAATTCAACAGCACAACAACAACCTTTGGAGTGTGGATTATAAATAACTTTGGCCAACATCCAAATAATGTGATTTTCAACAGTAGTGGGACAGTTTCCACATATCCGATGAGTTTTACTGGAGACTTGAGTCAGAAAAACTGCACCACTTTATTTTCCAGTTTAAAAACAACATACACAGACACATACTACTTCAGGGTTGAGAACCGGCCATTTCTAGCAACAGCTGTTTGTGATGTTCTTCAAATAACAGTTAAAGGTAAGAGACTTTTGTTTTTCATAAAACAATCTGAGATGTTATTACTTAGCATCTACTTGTTTCTGTTTTATTCAAACTTTTAATGTGAATATAAATATCTACAGACACCAACCAGGGATTGAAATGTTTACATTTCCTGGATATGAATTTATGTTTTTGTTTACTACTATTAAGAATCCCATGAGAAAGCTTCCTGAACATGCCGACCTTTGCACTAATGCTGGAAAAACGAACAGTTTTAAAAGTTTCAAACAATTTTTTGACTGTTTACCATCAGCGTTTTGACAACATTAATTAGCAAGTTAACATTTTATTTTTTTCTATAAAGGGTCACAAGTTCAATCTGAGGGGTCATGAGGTGATTGGTGGGAAAAGAAGAGAGAAAAAATTCTGCGGCACATATGAGTAATATACATATATATATATATATATATATATATATATATATATATATATATATATATATATATATATATATATATATATATATATATATTGGACTCTAATCTTTGCTTCATTATGAAGTAGTGTAATTATTAAATGAAGCCATGTGAGACGTTCAGAGACAGAAATGTCAATGAATCTGCTGACATTCAGAAAACATCAGAACACAACAAACACATTATTTAATAAATTATTCATAATCAAACATCTGATCTTGGAGTAAGTTTTTAAAAAATGCTCTCAAATGTAGAAGAGTACTTTCATCACAGACTGTAGACTCAAGTCTTGTTGCTCTTTTTTCAGTGTACAATCTGTATCTGATTTGAAACCACAGATTCTCCTCCAAAGCCCAGGATTGAGATCTCAGGTGATGTGAAGGAGAAGGAGTCTGTCTCTATCAGCTGCTCAGCTTCCACTCCCTGTCCACACTCTCCTCCTCAACTCACCTGGAACCTCCAACCAGACTCTCACCTCATGATGGAGGAAAACACAGATGGAACCTTCACAACTAGAATCCAGAAGAGCATCACTCTGTCACATGAACAAGATGGATTCATCATCAACTGTTCTGCCAGATATCCTGTGAATGAAGGAAAAGATGTAAAGACGTCAGAGGAGAGAAAGACTCTCAGTGTTTCATGTGAGTGTTTGTTCTTTGATCCAGTCAGCATACGATGATTCATGTGTTCACACGATGTCAGCTGCATAACGTTTTAATGTCACATGTTCCTCAGATGCTCCCAAGAACACCTCGGTGTCCATCTGTCCATCAGGTCGGGTGTCAGCAGGTAGCCGGGTGATCCTGACCTGCTCCAGCAGAGCCAATCCTCCTGTGAGCCGCTTCACCTGGTTCAAGACCATCAGAGATGCACCAATCAAAGTATCTGAAGGAGACTTTTACAGCTTCAATGTCACTGATGGAGGAGTTTATTACTGTGTGGCCACCAATCAGCTTGGTGATCAAACATCCTCAGAGATCCATCTGACTATAGGAGGTAACTAATAAAGGTACTTCAGTAATCAATATTGTTACATTCCCATAGTGTCTTCATTTAGTCACTGTTGTTTTTTCCATCTTGTCTTGAGGTGAAGTTGATCATCTTCCATTGGGTGCAGTTCTTGGAGGAATCCTTGGGATCATCGTGCTCATCGGCCTGGTTGTCTTTGTTTGGTCAGTAGCATCATTAAAGAATGTGTCTCCAATGACATGTGGTCTTTTTTTGGTAATCTGTGTATTAGACCCAACATTTTTTCTTGCAGGCGTTTGAAGTCTCCACATCCAACTGCACATCAGAGTCAGGTGAGAACACACCAAACAACTCGGTGTGGTTTTGTAATTATTTGGAATCAAGCTGCCTCCACAATCACTTCCTGTTTGCTTCATTTATTCTTTTATGCAGAATCAGCCTGTTGGAGAGACAGTGACAACAGAAGAAGGAGACGTCCACTATGGAGAGATTAACTTCTCGGGGCTCAGATCTGGACCGTCCTCGGTCTCGGAGCAGGACGGTGGACAGCAGGAGGACACGCTGTATGCGCTGGTCAAAGTGTCCAAGGCAGCAGACAACGTCACACGGACTGCTGGCGTCCCAGAGGATCTCTACGCTCAAGTGAAGAGAAAATGAGCCGTTTCTTGTGGTCACATTTGAGTTTTATTGTTAAGATGCTCTTTACATAAATAACTAGCTTCATCTGTCAGTTTATGGAGAAAAAGAATCGTGAGAAAATAATCTTCACTGCTTACAGTTAAAGAGGAACTTCAAACATCCACACCCTGCAGCTCAGATCGTTTTAGCAATTAATACTTTTTTTTACACCTTTATTTTATCAGATGAGTACAAATAAATGTCCCATGGCTCTAAATAGAAAAATATTGTAAAAGCGCTGTTCATACATCAATATGTGCTATAATATTAACTTTTTATGTTTGGAATTGAGTTTTTATTTTTACAAGGCTTCATTAAACTTTATGAAGTTTTTTTTCACATATTTTGCATCAACCATGTTTTATTATACTATTTCTTCTTCAAAAGACAATTACGTAATAAAAACCATATACACGACTTAATCCCAGTTGCATTTATTGGTCCATAATTTCACGTATGGTGTGTAAACATCTTCTGAAAATCATACAGCTTAAATCACAAACATTACACAAGTGTCAGAATGAATTATGCAAAACAATTCCCACTTTATGGTCTTTTTATTAATTTATTTGAATGCAAAGCTTAACGAAAAATAGAAAGGGCCTTTCCTGAGACTCAGTCAATTGTATAATAAAAGATCTGGTGCTAAAATACACTTTAAAAAAAGGTTAAAACTGTGTGACTTTTCTCAAAAGATCATCTTTGGGTTTCAGCATGAAAACATTAGCAGCCCAAAAGTTGAGTTGTTTAACGTCTCAAAGGCACAACAAGGTTGTGTTGATTGTGTTTTAGTGACATTAGCTTCTTTATGTTCAACGTCTGAGAAATCTGACCTTCATGTTGGGACAAACCTCCCTCCTCCCACCGGCATCCATTAGTGGAAAGTCACATCCAAAGTAGCTGCAATGTAGACTTTTTATCTCTGACATTTCTATTCCTAACAGATTTCCCTTCATAAAAGAGAAAGATGTGAGTCACTGGTTGTGATTATTTTACACACACACAAAGTTAACGGCCTGGCTATTGTTTTTATTTTATTTAAATGGAGCTTTCCATTTATCAGATCATTGAAATTCAAACAATTGAAATACTGACACGAACCATCTTTGACTGAGCAGCGAGTACTAGAACTCTCTAAAACCTGCATTTCAGTTCACAAACTTCTTGTAAAAACCAAATAGGGGTCAGATGTTTCTAAGCCAAATCCCAACCTGGTCCTCAGGACTCAGGGTTCATGTTTACATGAGTAAAACCAATAAGTGTGATTAGGGATCTAAGCTGTGTGTGTATGTGTGTGTGTAAACCTAACCAGTGACTTCTGAGTGCACCTTAACAATCTGCATCCTGAGTCTTCAGCGACCACCGGCCTGTTCCTGATTGAACTTCCTGTCTGTGGGCTTCTACTTGTGCACTCGCTCCTCCAGCGCCTTAAGCTCCGCCTCCATCTGAGCAGGGAGATCGGCTCCAACTTGCTGGGAGAAGTAGGCTCTCAACTCCTTCGTCTCCTTCTGCCAGAAAGACCTGGGCACGTCGAACAGGGCCCCCATATCCACATCGCTGCCCAGACCTTTGGTGTCGATGGCGCCATCCTCTGGCAGCCAGCCGATGATGCTCCTCTTGGCCGCCTCCTCCTCCCTCTCCCGGCCGCAGCGCTTGAAGATCCACTCCAGGGCGCGCGCGTTCTCGCCGAACCCGGGCCACAGGAAGGCGCCGTTCGCCGGGTTCTTCCTGAACCAGTTTACGTGGAAGATCTTGGGCAGGTGAGTGGGAGCCTTCCGGGTCTGCATGCTCAGCCAGTGAGCGAGGTAGTCGCCGAAGTTGTAACCGAAGAACGGCCGCATGGCGAAGGGGTCGTGCATGATCACCTTGCCTGGAGAATGAAGAAGTGGCTTCAGCAGTAGCACTACGGTCCAAAAACACCTCATCAACGGGAAAAGCCTGTCGTGAGTGATATCTCATAGGCGATGATGCAATAAGTCACCATTAATTAAACGAAAATGGTAAAACAGAACAGAACTGTGGAATTTAGAGCACATGAAGGTCAGGTGTGAAGGTCAGTACCTTGATGCTCAGCAGCCGCCGTGGCTTCAGACCTCATAGAAGCTCCAATAAAGACTCCGTGTTGCCAATTAAAAGACTCGTACACCAGAGGGACTCCTACATAGTCAATCATTTGAACATGTTTAATGCAGGGCTGCTCTACTTCTGCGATACACACCAACACAAGCATTTTGCATGATGCTTCCTTGTCTGGCTGCAAGTTAGACTTAGCTCATACTCTGTAACAGTCACACCACACAAGACTAACTAAGTAAATGCTCTCGAATGGTGAAACGTACATGAAAACAGCCTTCAAACAAAGTCTGCGATTATGGAGAGAAAAGCTCTGAGAGCAGCACCGACCTTCCGGCCTCCTGCCACCGAAGATGATGGCGTCGATGGGAACGCCCTCCGCACTCTCCCACTGGGGGTCAATGATGGGACACTGAGCCGCCGGGGCACAGAAGCGGGAATTGGGGTGGGCACACTGGGTCGAGCTTCCTATTTTAATACAATAGGGAAACAGTTTATTCCGCCTTCAATGTCACAATAATTTTTTTTAACTAAGGTTTTCTAATAATCTACATCTGAATATCATGGTCCATGATTCTGATCCATTTATATAGAGTGCACCTCTACAGCACACCACTAGATGGCGCTGTGTCCTCTACAGCTGTTTTTACATATCAGTTTGATTTATCAGTCTGAAGAAAGGGATGGTACTACATACTAATGTGTGTCATTGGCTTATTCTTAAACTTTTATATGAGATGGAACTGCACCGCTTCGGCCCAGACAACCATTGCAACTGATGTCTTTGTTGGCAGAGAAACAAACACATAATTCTACTCAGGTTAAAGCAGTAAAACTGCTGAGTGTTCAACAACGTGCTAAAACCAATTCCTTTGAAAGTGGTTCCCTTTTGACGGACGTCTCCATCAAGGCTCGGCCACGCCGCTGTTACCTTTCTGCCAGGTTTTTCCGTGCCAGTCCGTGAGCGTGACCCCGGCCGGAGGGGGGTCGAGGCCCTCCCACCACACTCCTCCATCGCTGGTCTCGCCCACGTTGGTGAACACAGTGTTTTTGGCGATGGTGGCCATGGCGTAAGGGTTGGTCTTGTTGGAGGTGCCGGGGGCCACGCCGAAGAAACCGTTCTCCGGGTTGATGGCTCTCAGCTTCCCTGCAGAGACACGAGAGGAACGTGGATTCGAAGAGCCGCCTCCCGCGAGAGCGATGCTGTGTGCGTGCTACGCATCCTCTCCTCCCCCTCCCTCACCTTGACTGTCGAACTTCATCCACGCAATGTCGTCGCCCACACACTCCACCTTCCAGCCGGGCAGAGCTGGTTTCATCATGGCCAGGTTGGTTTTACCACAGGCACTGGGGAAGGCCGCCGCCACGTAGCGCTTCACCCCCTGAGGGTTGGTGATGCCCAGGATCTGAGAGGGGAGAGAGGATGACAATGAGTAATGAAAGTAATACTTTCATACTGGCCAAAGTTATCTTAATAACCAAAAGTAAATCCCATCACAGGATGATACGTTGGTGATGGCCTGCAGATACTTCATATCATTTTCACATTTAGTCTTGTAAATAACTAAAAAGACCTAATCAGGTATACATGATGCTTCATTTGTTTCTCTGTGTGTTTGTATAGATCTTGACTGATTACATTCCTCAAAGCATCATCATTTAAAAAAATGCTTTCCTAAAGCTGACCGACACTTCTTACGACACGGATCTCACTGAAGCACCAACGTCTCACGCTCACCAGCATGTGTTCGGCCAGCCAGCCTTCGTCCTTGGCGATGCGCGAGGCGATGCGGAGGGCAAAGCACTTCTTCCCCAGGAGAGAGTTGCCTCCGTAGCCACTGCCGAAGGACATGATCTGCCTGGTGTCCGGCAGGTGAGAGATCAGCACCTTCTCGGGGTTACAGGGCCACGAGTTGACCAGAGGGGCTTCAAAGAGGGGAACACCAGGCTGTGTGAGATCGTCGTAAGCAACTAGAAGCCCTCAAACGACTGGTTTCAAGCGCTAAGGACGTGTACCTTTGAGCGGTAAAGGCCGTCCCACAGAGTGCTGACAGCGGACAAACTCCGCCCCTTCGGACAGTTTGTTGAGCACAGGTGTGCCCATACGAGTCATGGTCCCCATGCTGGCCACAACGTATGCAGAGTCGGTCACCTTCAAGCAAAACACAATGTTTATCGCCCTGATGCACAACCTGCAATAAAGCCATGAAGTGCTACAGAAATCCATTAGAATACGGATATAGAATATGCTGCAGAACCAATTACGCCAATAAACCACAGCAACAAATCAAAGGGTTTTTTTTACAGCTACAACACAGCAGCCCAGTTGCTTTACGACATGCGTTGTGTTCCTGTGGGTATAAAGTGTTGCGGAGCACAGTCAGTACCTGCACACCGTACTTGGTCAGAGGCGAGCCCACAGGACCCATACTGAAGGGAATCACATACATGGTCCGACCTGCAGAGAGGACACACGGGAGCACCAACAACACATTAGTCGGTTTATTTATCCCCACTACAGGCAGCATTGTATCAATGGCGACAGATGATGGGTTTACATTAGGCCAGATATATCAGAAGCTTTTTTTCCCAGAAGTACCTTGTGGAGTTTACGACAGCTCGACAGCTAGTGGCATTTTGTAATAGTGTTATTAACGAGGTGTTTATAGTGCACCAAGACACGGGGACTATGGGGAGCCGTCCAATTAAACAACGGCAGCGAAGAAGATAAAGAGGTAAACAGCACAGCGCTTGTGAGACACCATGGTTCCCCCCCAGAGATGTTCAGATACACCTTGAGCAGTTAGAATGCTTTTTTTTAAACATGAACATGTATAAATCAGCTGATTAAATCACACATTCAATTGGCCGATTCCACCCTAAAGGGCATTACCGCGAACACAACTGAAGACACCCCGTCCTACGGCAGCGAGGGACACATGAGCTCCCGTGCACCAGCCTACCTGCCATGCAGCCCGGGAAGCGCTCCTGTCTGGCCGCCTGCCAGTCGGACTCGCTCATCCAGCTGCCCAGCTGGCTCTTCGCCCCTCCGGCGGGAATGGGCACGGTGTCCCTCTGGCTCTTGGTCACGATCACGGTCTTGCTCTCCACCCGAGCCACGTCCTTTGGGTCGGTACGTGCCAGCCAGCTGCGAGACAGAGCCACGGTCAAAGCGCCCGACCCGAGCGCTTGGGACGCGGAATTCAAGAGCACTTACCAGTTCTCGTATTTCGGAAGCTTCTTGACCATCCCCTCGATCTCCAGACCGGCCAGGATGTTGGCAGTTTCTTGCGGCGTGCCCGTCACCACGTGCACCCTGGCCGGCTTGCACTCATCCGCCGCTC